AAAAGAAATATATAAATAGATAGTTAGAGGAGGAGGCAGCAGCTGTTGTATCTTGGACAGCACAGGTGCAGGCGGAGTGACAGTTGTAAACACAGCGCCTGTGTTTTCGCTGACCGCACAGTCACAGAGAGAGAAAGAGAAAGGGCGGGGAGGCACAGCACACCGCCATTCAGTGCACCCCACAGACGCCGCAGTGGAGTGGTCCAGCAACACAACGGTGTCCCTCCCACTCACAGTGCAGACACACACACAATGACACTCCCACATGCTCATGTCAGAGAGGCACTGCGGCATTCCCTAAAATGTACACTAAGTCACACACCTACAGAGAGGAAAAGAAAAACACAAGAAAACAACAACAGGATACCAACAGTACACAAATCACTCACAATACAATAATCACAGCTGCCACCCCCATCAGAGAAAAACATTCACCCACACCAGCACATCAACTCAACCCCAAAAAGAAAAAAAAAAACAGAACCATTACGTGAAGCCGAAGCGGAACAGTCTCAGTCCACCTCTCCCCGCAGGGGGCAGTCACTCAAGCAAGCCACACAACAAACAACACACACCACAAGAGCACAAATATGTTCGTGGCAATGCCGTGAGTGACAACACCGAGAGAGAAGGTGAGAACAAAGAAATGTGTTTTCATTNGGTCCAGCAACACAACGGTGTCCCTCCCACTCACAGTGCACACACACACACAATGACAGTCTCACATGCTCATGTCAGAGAGGCACTGCCGCATTCACTAAAATGTACACAAAGTCACACACCTACAGAGAGGAAAAGAAAAACCCAAGAAAAGAACAACAACAACAACAGGATACCAACAGCACACAAAGCACTCACAATACAATAATCACAGCTGCCACTCTCATCAGAGAAAAACATTCACACACACCAGCACATCAACTCAACCCAAACAGAAAAAAAAAAACACAAGCCCATTACGTGAAGCCGAAGCGGATCAGTCTCAGTCCCTCCCCGCAGGTTGCAGTCACTCAAGCAAGCCACACACCAAACAACACACACCACAAGGGCAGAAATGTGTTCGTGGCAATACCGTGTGAGTGACACCACCGAGAGAGAAGGCGAGAACAAAGAAATGTGTTTTCATTACGTGGGCGGTGCGAGCAGCAACCCAAACACACAAAGGAACACACAACAGAGGGGCACACTCAAACACCTACAATCCATCGGATCTTTATACCAAAATAAAAATGTAAAAAAAGAGTGACTGCGTGAGGCAGACACAATAATAGAGCAAAGATGTAAAAGAAAAAAAAGAAATTAATTACTTACTGTGGCTCCGATGCCTGGACACAGTCCAATCCACTCCAAGGTTAACAACGGAAAATCATTGTGTATTGAACGTGTCGTGCCCATATCTTTATTCTTGATGTCCCTGCAGCAGTTTGTATATAATGAAAAAAAAAGAATTACTCCATAAAAATGAGCACACAAGATACACAAGGTGTATTGGAAACGCAAAAGAGAAACACACAGCTGCACATAAAACGTGCAATGAAATTATAATGAAACACACACAAAAGGGAAAGCAAAATAATTAAAACAAAACAAAAAGAAAGCCGTGATCACCATGTGAATATGTTCGGGAGGCAATAACACAATTCCCAGCAGTGTGTGTGTGTGTCTTTCGTACAGGGCGAGCAATGGGAATGATGCACACATGATGACAGTCCACACACACACAAAAGGAGAAGGAGGGTTGGTAGTGTGCGTGTTTGTGTGTCTTGAACCTCCTACCATTCTTCACATTTCAGTCACAGCAATTAAAACATATCGGGATTGTATCCCATCCCCACGGGCAAAAGCAATAGTTATTAATATCACGGAACACACAAACATCACCAGGAGACCACAGTGAACGGCGGCAAAACAGAGCCCAGATGATGCGAACAAAGAAAGAGGACACTCCCCTCACAAAATGATGGTTTGTCATGGGTTGAGTACCGTAGTAGCCCAATAGATTCGTTCAGCAAAAAAATGCAAACAAAAGATTTATCGTGATAGGAGAATAAAAAACATTAAAATTCAATAAAAAAAAAAACAGCACCCTTACAATGCATCCATGTCCACTCAAACAAAGGTTAACTGTGCAACTGTGTCATGGGAACACCGATCAGCACACGAGAGTGTAACCCAACACAGTCAGAAGGAGAAGCAGCATGGAACTGTGCACCAATGCAGGACTGAGGCTGTTGTCATTCCTCTTCGCCGCTTCTGCTTTCTTTCTCGCCTCTTCCGCTGCCCGTTCCGTCTGTTCTTCTTCTCCTCCAGCCTCTTCCTCTTTCTTTTTTTCTTCTTGTGTCTCCTGTGTCCTCTCTTTAACATCATCTGCCTCTTTTATTACCGCTGACGAACGCTCTTCCTCCTTTACCCTCTTTTCATCTTCTACCAGCTCCTCCTGTACCAGAGTCAGATACTTTTGTTTTGCTGTTTCTTTTGCTTCCTCCAGTTTTTTAGCGACGATGTCCTTTTTCTCCCCTCCTATATTTTCAAAGTCCACACCCTTGAATACTTCCGATACACTTGCGAGCACCTGAACTTTCTCCAAAGTTTCCCTGAGTTTTTCCACTGCTTCATCCGCGTCAGCCATGGATTTCTTGACATTCTCAAGAGGTTTGAGTTCACCATCCTCGGAAAAGAGTCGTTCTTTGAGATCAAATAACGTTTGGTTTGCATTACTGCTCCTCTCATCGAGTTTCATTACCCCCCGCTTTTCGTGCGTTTTGTCCTTATGTACTTTCAAAAAACGCTCTCGAGCTGCGACAAGACTCCCAATATCTTCTCCCAAGTCCACAAACTGTTCCCTACATGAAAGTGCCAATAGACCCATGTCTACGAGTGATAGTGTCACATTGTCAAAATCTCTTATGTTTTGTTGTATTCCATCCTTATTTTTCAGTATCCACTCATCTTTCGACCCAGATGCCGGTATTCCCTTCTCTAATCCCTCGATCTCTTCACGAAGAACCGTGATATTCTTTGCAATAACATCAGCACGCTTGGCACTTTTCTCGCATAATTCCCCATTATCCTCGAACAGTGACAGACAACCAGACATATTCACGATGCGCTCATACGCCGTGGCTACCGTCTTGTTTAACAACTGATCCACGTCATCTTCCGTTGACTTGATGTCTGTAGAATCCTGCACAACATCCTCCGCACATGCCACATACACAAAGCACTGCAGAAGTACCAACAGGTACACCACACCACGCAGTTGGACGAACATCGTTGTCATGATTGTCACTGTGAGTTGCTTGGATCTGTGGTAACAAGGAAGAAGAGGAAAAGGAGAAAAGTAGACGCACATTTAACACACAAGGCAGAGAGTACACAGAAAGAGAGTGAGAAAGAATACACATCACAACAGCATTCAAACACAACCCAATGAGGGAAACAACAGTAAACCACTCACACAATAAAACACACCCAGAGTTACACAGATATTGAAACAACACCTTGAATTTAGAAGAAGTGNAAAAAAAGAGATTTATTACTTACTGTGGCTGCGATGCCTGGACACAGTCCAATCCACTCCAAGGTTAACAACGGAAAATCATTGTGTACTGAACCTGTTGTGCCCATATGTTTATTCTTGATGTCCCTGCAGCAGTTTGTATATAATGAAAAAAAGAATCATTCCATAAAAATGAGCACAGAAGATACACAAGGTGTATTGGAAACGCAAAGGAAAAACACACAGCTGCACATAACGTGCAATGAAATTATAATGAAACGCACACACAAGGGAAAAACAATAAAATGAAAACAAACAAGGAAAGAAGGCCGTGATCACCATGTGAATATGTTCAGGAGGCAACCAACACAATTCCCCGCAGTAGGTGTGTGTGTCTTTCGTACAGGGCGAGCAGTGGGTATGATGCACACATGATGACAGTCCACACACACACACAAAGAAAAGGACGGTTGGTAGTGTGCGTGTTTGTGTGTCTTGAACCTCCTGCCATTCTTCACATTTCAGTCACGGCAATTAAAACACATCGGGTTTGTACCCCATTCCCATGGGTAAAAGCAATAGTTATTAATATCACGGAACGCACACACATCACCAGGAGGACACAGTGAATGGCGGCACAGCAGAGCCCAGTTAATAATGCCAACAAACAAAGAGAACACTCCCCTCACAAAATGATGGTTTGTCATGTGATGAGTGTCATAGTAGCCCAATAGATTTGTTCAGCAAAAAAATGCAAACAAAAGATTTATCGAACTGAAAAGAAAAACATTAAAATTCAATAAAAAGAACAGTGCCTTTACAATGCATCCATGTCCACTCAAACAAAGGTTAACTGTGCAACTGTGCCATGGGAACACCGATCAGCACACGACAGTGCAACCCAACACACACAGCAGAACAAGAAGCAAAAAGGGACTGTGCATCAATACAGGGCCGATGCTGCCGTCTTTTTGTTTCTTTTTTTTCTCCATCTCTTCCTTTGCCTTTCTCTCCAACTCCTGTTTACCCTTTTTCTTCTCTTCTTCAGGTTTCTTTCTCTCCTGCTCCTTTCGCCTTTCTTCTGTCGCCTTTTTCTTTTCTTCTTCGGCCCTCTTTCTCTCCAGCTCCCTTTGCCTTTCTTCACGGAGGTTCCTCAACACCTTTTCCTCCTCCACTTTTTCCCGCTCCAACCTTTCTTTTTCGTTCTTCTTTGTCGCCGCCACCTTCTCCGCAAGTTTGGCTTTGTCAGTTGTCCTCTTCTTTGCCTCATGTGGTGGGGCAGCTCCCGCAATCGCGCTCGCAGACGTTCGACCGACAACGAACAGTACCTCATCCGTTTTCTTTTTGTTGTTGAAATAAGTTACGCGTACTAATTCCTCCCTCAGTGATTCCCCAATAGCATCGCCGAATTTTTTCAAATCCTCTTCGTACTCTTCATCTTTCTTTGCAAATTGATTTTTCACCGCATCGAACAGTTCCCACGCTCTGAGAATCCTATTCTTCGTAGCGATTACACCATTACTTACTTCCCTCGCGCAGGCGTGACTTCTTCGTTTGATCACTAGGAGGTGATGATAAACCTCATTCAGTTCTTTATACACTCTCTTGCTCCTCTTAATAAGCGCTTCCCGTTCCACCGACCTTTTTTTTTCATCCACTCCCTCAAGCACTTCTGTATGTTGTTTTCTGCTATCGTTTCGATTCTCCAACATAACTCTCATGTTCATCATCGCGAGTGCACTTATTCGATCCAAATATCTTGCCTCTTCGACTGCATCCGCCGCCCCATTAAGGACACTCACATTTTTTTTTACCTCACCCGTAGCCTTCTTCATGAGACGTAGTAAATGGTCGCGCAACGGATTCATCTTCGCCCTCTCGATGATGACTTCAGTAACGATTTCTTTCGTCCCACTGGCCACGTCCCTAGCAGCATTGGCTCTTGAATTACAAGTCTCCACTGTGGTTCCCCATACTTCTTGATAGCCCTTTCCTTCCGCAAGATACCCCTCCGACTTGTTTACCCACTCTTTTAAAGACTGTTCTGCTTCCGAAACTTTATTTCT